CACTTGTGTCTCGAGCATCCAGCCCCCCGGAACCCAATGAGATGCTGACTACATCGCCATCCTTGCAGCTGCCTGCTCCGGGCTTATCCTTGGCCAGCAAAAGAGGCCAGCTATGGGTGCCGGCAACTCCGTGCAGCACCCCCACGCCTCCGAAAGCGTCAGAAAGGGGACACTCCGATGCGGACTTGCTGAGGGAAGCACACGACACCATGTGGCAGCATGAGACGCCTTGTTCGCCGGCAACTGTTATGTTTCACAGCGCCCATCTGGCACCTGGATATCGGGATCGAGGGAGGATGGATGCAGCGTACCGGAGACGGTTGAAGATTTCCACGAGCTCATGATGATTGCTAGATCCCTTCTCTGTCCTGAGCTTCCTTCTCCCGTCCGGGGAGGCGGCGGCCAAAGCCGTCCTGGCCTCTTGGGTGAACGGAACGTGCGCCCATGTCCGGGAGTACATGACAGAACCAATGTGTTCTGCGTTTCCAGTTTCAGGGGTCTACATCAAGCGGACCGCTTCTCTTGGGACCTCGGACTGAAAGTCCTTCCACCTATTGAGAAGGCGTGAGAGACTGGAGGGGTTCACTTGCTTTCAGCGTTTCCTGTGACCAAGGTAATGGCAAAGCTTGATTGTTTGCTACGGGAACATTACATTCAACATGCAGCCGGCGCTATTCTGGCTGTGGATGTCAACCTTCAGTGACTGCCTAGGGCATCGTTTGAGTCCATTGATTGTATGTCTGCTCCGAAAGCATGCATACAGACCAAACACATCGTGACGCTTGCCACCCCTTTGTCTTTACGTCTTGAGACCGCCACCAGGCAAAACGGCTCGACGTTCTTGACACAGAGTACGGGGTATTAACGGTGACATTTCCAAAAATAAACCCAGAGAGCGATGATCTGGTATGGCTAGCGTCCTGTTCTCGCCACAAGGAGGCAAGCCACCCATCTGGCTCTGGCCTTGACTTTTGCTGACCGTCTTGCTCTGCGGTCGAAGCAACACCGTCGGCCGACGCAAACGCCGGGGTGTCAAACCTGGGGGACGTCTTAGACCGCTCATTGATGGATGAGGAATGTCTCTGGCAACAAGGAAGAGACCTGGGGGAGAAAACGTGGAAAACAAGCCTCTTGCACTCAGGCGATAACACTAGCTTCCGTGCAAAGTCTCCGAGCAACAATTTATGTGTATGTGGTCATGATTGACTGGGGCGTGTGTTGTTGGTTGAGAGCTCTGCCATTTTGGTTTGGCAAATAAGGAGGAAGCGTGCACCTTGAGGGCTGGATCTTGTTTCCCCTCTTTATTTGGCCATAGCTTTTACGTGGGGAGGAGGGTGTGAGTAAAGAGAAAACTGGTGTTCTTACTGGTTTTCCGTGAGAATGGATTTGGTTGCGATGTGGTTCCACTGTGTCTATCGCCTCTCTGAATAGCGGCAATACTTTCTGTCTTTGCGTTTGATCGGATGATGCGACGTTACTTGTCCGGGAAATTGCCTTGGGCGAGATGGATATGGTGACACGGGAAGACTATCCTGCTCTTTCGTGATGGAGACAAAGTGGCCATACGAAAGAGTGATTGTGGAAAATGAGTGGAAAAGCAAGTGAAACGACAATAGAAGCGTAGCCACGTTAGAAGGAAACGCCGGTGTAAGAACCCAAAATTCACTGAGGGGTTGTAGTATCTATCTTCTCATAGCTTTCATGTACGTTCCCAGTGATTGAATGGCATCGTTCGTCTCCGGAGCTCTTCTCTGGCATATTCAGACGCCAATCCCACATGGGAACAATAACCAGGGGCAATCGTGAAGCGTAGTTTTCGTCCTGCTTGAATTGTCATGGTTTATTCTGAACCAGTTGGAAAGGCAACTGGCCCCCCTATCTCTCGTGACACATCAAGTTGAACCGAGCGATGGAGTACGAGAGACGGCCCTTTTTGAAGGTTCTTTCGACGGGGACTCGATCAAACACTTGAGCAATGGATATATATTGGTGGGAAAAAAAGAGGCAGTAGGGTATGTCATGGCCACATGGACTGTTAGATTTATCCAGCTCCTCATCACTGAAGCATCCATCTCCTGTCAACATTCCTCTCAGAAAAAGAGATTGTCAACCAACAAGGGCCAAGAAAAAATATGAAGATAAGTGATATCCAAAGAGGATCCAAAGAGTAAGGTAGGCAATATAAAACAACAGATCAAGGAGATGTACACGCCATTCGCGCGGGAAAAAAAAAAACGAAACAAACAGGCAGATACAAAAGCTTGTAGAGCCCCCCACACAATGTGACTTTACTCAACTGTGTTCTTATCCGCAAACGGATTGTCATCATCATCGTCATCCTCCTCGTCAGACAGATACGAGCCGGTCCTGGGCTGCGCGCTCGGCCGCGGGTTCGAAGGCAGCGGCGGCGGTATCGGGGGCGCCGAAAACGCGGGCTTGGACGCCGGCCGGGGCGGCGGGGTGGCTTTCGGGGACGAGGTGATGCTCAGGCCGGCGATGTCGGGGTGCTCGGCCCGGGTTGGGGAGGTGGCCTCTCGTGCGGCCAGTTCTTCTTTGCCCTTGATAGCGGCCACTATAACCGGGGGGTTACTGGGTCAGTTCTGATTTCTAAGGGGTTGTGGATGACGCGGGGGATAGGTTATGCAGCTTACTTCGGTAGAGATGGGCCTGCTCTGCGAGTTCGTCGTCAGAGTCGCTGTCGGCGTCGACGGACTGGTCGAGCTGCTCAAAGGTCATGAGAGCGTGGACCAGCTCATCGTTGGCGTGGAGCAAGGGACCCAGCCACTGTTCGTGATCGACGTGATGAATCTTTGCTCTCGAATCAGTTTCGAACCATCACAAGAACGTTATCGAGTACTGAAGAACTTACAAAGCGCAACACCTTCCTGCGAAGAATCTTGCACGACTCGAATCTCTCCACGGCCAGGCTGTTGTCGGAGATGCGCTCCTTTTCGCGGTTGATCGTCTGCAGCACGTTGAGCAGGTTCGTCGCCGCCAGCGAAGACTCTGCGATGACGGACTTCATCTGCTCCTTTTCCGCCTCCAGGTTGAAGGGCTTCCGCTTGGTCTTGGTCTTGCTGCTGCGCTTCTTCTTGTCGGAGCTCGAGCTCCCTCCAAATATGGAACCGCTACCGCTACCGCTACCGCCGCCACCGCCGGACAGAGACAGAGAGGAGGCTTGCTGATGCTTGAACGAATCGACCATGGACGACCCGCGGCTGTGAGACGAGCGGCCGTGCGATGGACCGGCGGCAGCAGGAGGAGTCGGGGACTTGGGCGAAGCCGGCTCATCGTCTTCCTCGTCGCCAAAGGGGTTCTCCGTCTCCTTGAGGACGCGCGACCTCTCCTGCGTGACGGTGACCTTGCGCTTGGGCAGCTCCTTGTGCAGGCGCGCGATCCTCTCGAGGCCGGGCTTGTTCCCGTACTGCGACCAGCTGCTGAAGAGCTCGCGGCACTTCTTCCTGACCTCGGGGTCCGAGAGGTCGGAGGTGCCGCAGACGCGCAGGCGCTCGAGCAGGGGCTCGTCGGCGAAAGTGCGCGTGAAGCGCGGGCCGGCGTTCTGGATCAGGCCGTCGAGCAGGACGAGGGCGCGCAGCTGGCGGTGGACGTTGCCGTACTTGAGCTTCTTGCGGATGGCGCGCGCGGCCTCGGTCGGGCCCGAGGCCTGGATGGTGATGACCTCGACCAGGTCGGGGATGCCGCTGAGGTCGTCTTCTTCGTAGGCCTCGGAGGTGAGGGTCTCGATGGTGACCGTGACGGCCGAGTAGGGCTTCTTCTGCAGAGCTTTGTTAGAGAACATTGTCTCGTTCCAAGGGAGAGGCGGGGGGAGGCATGGAGGGGCGCCGCACTTGTTGAAACATTGTTGGATAGAGGCGAGGCTGAGCTGAGCGTGGGTTGGTATGTGCCCGTGTATAAAGCCAAGCGGGCGATGCTCTCAACTCTGGAGCTGCCCCGCGATGGTTCCAGAAAGCTGTCCCTCAAGGCCCTTTCTCTCTCGTCGTACTCGTTTAGCTGGAGCTCGAGTCAAGGGTCCGCCGAGCTCGTTTGTCCTTGTAGTACCACGACTCTCCAGCCGATGGTGTCGCTTCAGCCAATCGACCTGCGAAGCGCCACGTCGTCGCAAACCAGCAGCGCCCAGCTGGGCTAATAACAACGAGGCAGCTCTTCAGCTCTCCCAGCCCAAATCGAAGTCGAAATTGTCGCCTGATGATCTTCTCAGCCACTGCTTGGACTCGTTTCGTTTCCCGCGCGTGACTCGTCCCTCGGAGTTTCACCGCCCCTTCCTTCAGATCAGAAAACGATTGACATGAACCGAACGACGATCAGCTCTTGCGGGCTTTTGCAAGGGAATAACGCGAATAAAACAGCTGGGAGAGGTGGTGGTCCCTTTGGCCTGTCGATTTTAAAACGCGGGGCTGGAGGTTGGATTGATTCGGGGGGCTTTTGCGGTGGGGGCAGCGAGTGACGTCGCTTTTTTTTAAATGCTTGGCTTGAACATTGGACAGTTGAACGATTTTGGCCTCCTTTGCGTTGTCTTTTCTTCTCTGTTTGTCGTGTTTTGCTATTAAAAAGCTTGCGAGATGTGACTTGATGTGATATTTCCTGAGACCGGATAATTGTCCCGATTAGAAAGGCTGTGGAAGTTGCTGCGATACCGGTGGTGATGCGTGATGGCTTCATTGTGACACGGGGCTGTCATTATCACATGGAAGCTGGAACATTGGCAATGAAGTCCCAAAACCAAGAATTGGTGAGATAACGAATACATCTAGTTTATATACACGAGTACTGCTGCTCTGGTATTTCCAAGGTATCTCGCATACAGCTCGTAATACAGCCACGCCCATCTCGTTCAAAACCTCCACACTCGTCGATCTTATTAGCAGAACCGAGGTCTAAGTCTAGTCCCTGCAGCGTAGCGCCATGCAGCATGCCTTGTACAATAAGAGGCCAATCAAGAGGATAACAGAAACGAGAAAAGATGGTTGTCATTGAAAACATCATGCATTGCCCAGCCCCAACAGCACCAGGTTGGCAACATTCATCACCGCAATGAGCAGCCAGACGAGGGCGCTGACGATGATGAGCACCCAGCCGTTGGACATGTCGGTTCCCGGCTCGTCGCCTGGCCGGCCGTCTTCTTCTTGTTCCCTCGACTCGACGTGCAGCCGCGCTCGGCCGGGCCGCACCGTCATGTATCTGCTCCGGGCGGTAAAGTAGATGAGCGGGAACGTGACGAACGGCAGCACGGTGCTGAGCACGACCTGCGAGGCGTTGAGGGCCGTGTCGAGCCCCCTCTGCCCGACGGCGCCGGCAATGATGATGGACGGGGTGATGCTGAGGGAGCGCGTGCAGAGGCGCCGCAGCCAGGGCTTCATCTTCCAGCGCAGGGCGCCCTCGCTGACCATCTGGCCGGCAATGGTGCACACGATGCCGGCGGAGACGCCCGACAGGAGCAGGGCCAGGGCGAAGATGGTGCCGGCGCCGGACGAGATGCTCCGGGAGAGCAGCTTGTGGATGCCGAAGATGTCGGTGTCGAGGGCGTCCGGGTTGCCGTAGAGCGAGGCGCCGGCGACGATGAGGATGGACGAGTTGACGAAGAGGGCAAAGGTGAAGAGCGACAGCGCCAGCTCGGTGACGGAGTACTTGAGGCAGTGCCGGATGGCCTGGAGGGAGGGGATGTAGACGACCTTATCGTAGCTCCCGTCGATGGTGGACGAGGCGGCCGACACGGGCTGCTCCGGGGACGGCATGAGGCCGTGCTTCTCGTCGTAGTCCTTGAGCCGGGGCATGACGATGCCGGAGCCCAGGTACAGGCTGTGCGGCATGACGGTGGCGCCGAGGATGCCGCAGGCCTGGTAGAGGCCGTTGGACTGCACGATGGCGCCGGAGGGGATGTAGCCCTTGAGGACCTCGCCGACGCTGGTGTGCTTGATGAGGGAGAGCTGGATGCAGAAGCAGATGACGACGCCGAGGACCAGCAGCAAGACGAAGAACTCGAAGACGCGGAGGCCCTTCATGGAGCCGTCGGGGCGGTAGAAGACGAGGATGGCCATGACGTCGAGGATGGAGAGGGCGCAGCCGGCGACGAGGGGCAGCTTGGGGATGAGGAGGTTGAGCGCAATGGCCGTGCCAATGACCTGCAAACTGGTCAATACACGATTGGCTCTTGAATAGATAGGTCGATGAGACAAGTTAGAGGCATACCTCGGCAATATCAGTAGCGATAATGGCAACTTCGGCCAGCGCGTAGAGAAAGTAATTGAGCCATCGCGGCAGGTAGGCGCGGCACGCCGACGCCAGATCCAGCCCCGTGACGGTGCCCAGCTGGATGGCCAGGCTCTGGAGCAGGATGGCGAAGAGGTTGCTGAGCAGGACGACGAAGAGGAGCTTGAAGCGGTACGAGGAGCCTGCGGCGATGTCGGTAGAGTAGTTGCCGGGATCGACTGCGTAAAGAGGAGGGAAGAATTAGCCATCGAGTTCAAGCGCCTTGTCAGTTCTCTTTTATCGTTGACTTACTATATGCAACGGACACCATGAAGCCAGGCCCGACAAACTTGCCAAACGTCATGAGCACATGCCTCAGCCTCGCCAGCCCCGTCTCCCTTGCGCCGCTTCCATTCGGCGCGGTCATGACTGAAGCAGCATCTCTGCCGCGTCCGCCGCCATCATCGCCCTGCGCAAACAGCACGCCGGCTGCGACCTGTGCGCTCTGGACCTTGCTGTCGGCGGTCTTTCTGAAGGGATTCATGCGTGATGATGATGGTGTCTGGCGAGCGGCTGCATCTTCTGCGACAACGGCGCCCTCAGTCTCGGGTGTTATCCTGTCCATTTTGGCTCCCTCTGTGAGATTGATCGTGAGAGTGGTGGAAATCGTCCAGTCTGACAGCCGTCCAGCGTGACGAACCCTCCCCCTTTTCTCTTCGCTGCCGCCACGGTCCACGTATAACAGGACAACGGGGTTGTGGTGAGATATGAGATGCCGAGATCAGTGCGTAAGGTGAATATTCAAGTAATTGAACTTGGTCAAACGGTCTTGTCTCCCAGCTTCAACTCTCTCTCCCTCTCTTTCAAGCAAGACAAGCAAGACCTTGGTTCCTTCCACCCGTCACCCCGACCAAGAAAACAGAACAACAGGGACGGATCGCGCAGCGCGAGAACCAGCGTTGCAGCATAACCTCAAAAGAATCAAAAATCCCGGGTTTTGGAGTCCAAGTCAAAGATGTGAGAATGGATCACGAGTTCAGAGACTGCCGGAAACGACTTGGATCTTAAGGTTATTTCTGATGAGCCACAAGACGGGTCGCTTTTGGAAAGTGGAGACTGTGCCGTTTTTTGAGCGGGTTTCGATGACGGGCTGGTTTTTGTCGTCTCGGCACTCAGAACAAGTTGCGCTGGGATTCTTGTCTCCGAATTGTGTTTCTTCAGATGTGTCTTGGATTAAAGAAATAGATCGTAATGTGATTAAGAGGTATTTCGTTTCTAGAAGAGCATGGACGTCACAATAAGGAGTTCAAGGTCCTCTCCAGCTACTGATCGGAAACAAGGAGCGCCGGTTCAATAACTGTTACGGCATCGGGTGGCCAAACCCCCAGGCCCGAATCTGCCCGGAAGGACGTGCCTCCGGTCTCACTGGCGCGCAAAAGCTCGGGACAAGGATGAAGAGAGGCTGAGCGATAGTGATCCACTGCTTCCACAGACAAGCTCATAACAATAAAATCATGATTTTAAAAAAGCCCGTTGTCCTTTAATCAGCTGAACCTGAAAGAAAGAGACGAGAAGAGAGAGGTTTGTCGTCGAGATAGCCTCCCGGCCGGTATGATCCGCCTCGGCGACACCAAGGCCGGGAGGAGGAGGGGGATAGAATGGTCTAGAAAGCGATCCCGGATTCCCAATGCAAGGGGCAACTTGGAGTAGTAGTAGTAGGCGATGATGAATCAGAGAAGACGAAAATTGCTGCTGCGTGATGCAAGGCAGCTTTTGCGCCTCTCCCTATTCGTCGACGCCAGCCAGGGTTGCTCAGATGCCGTTCCGAGCTGCAGATGCTCGGCTGTGTGTGTGTGCGTGTGTGTGTACATGTAAGTGGGCAGGACAGCTTCCCTGGAGTGAGTGCTTGACGATGGGCTTCCCTGATAAAGTGCTCAGCTTCGGGCAGATGCCTCGCTATTTACATGCGTTCTACACCGACGCACTAGTGAGCAGGCAACTCAACAGTCTCATTCACAACAATGCATGGATACCTGTAGCTACGATAGAGACATCAACCCCCTGCATCATGTCCGGAACCTCAGTGCCGCCTATTGCACATACTGGTCCAAGTATCTTAGGTACTTTATGATTCCCATATCACCTCCGAGCTTCAATCTGGCCCCCGTACACTTGGACCGGGTTTCCCCGGAATCTTTTTCTGGGCACCTCAAGATTCCCTTCTTCTCCACTAGTGAAGAGTCGGCTTGCCGTTGCCATCCGGGTTCTTCTCACCTTTTTCTTTAGCCTTGGTTCCGAGAGAACACAGAACCCATCACATGCGCCATCTTGCCAATGGTATATTTCTTTACGTTATATTTTTTTTGGCCCTTCTTCCCCCGCGTCTGGCCGCTCCTCTGGGGCCCCAAACGTGGCTGAAGATGGGGCTTGACGATCTTTTGACATCATATCTACGGCTTAATCGCGGGATGAGAAGAATTGCAACAACCTCAAGGAAGAGAGAAGAACCACCCTTGATGACTATCGTGTATCGCTTCACATCTCACCAGCTGAGTGAAATCACCGTAGAACCAATATACTAGTCATACAGCTTCTTGCTTCGCACAATACCCTCGTAAGCTGCGCCACGTGCCGTCGGTCTTATGCCGGCATTCGATCGGGATGCGACTCCGGATATGCTCTGCCGTTCTTTTTGCTTCAATTTGTTGCCGTCGTGCCGGTTCTTGGGGAGGGCCTCAAGCTCGCACAGACATTGCCCGAGAAGAAGTCTTTTGTGTAACTACAATCTAAACAAGCCATCACATGAAGCATAATCATGAACAACCTCATCGTTCCTCTCAAAACGCCCATTCTCTTAACCGATCTAGTGGTATATGTGGAATTCCCAGCCTTTTCCCCCAACACCTTTGCTTCCCTCGCTTCGTCCTTGCAACAAACCGCATCCGAGTCTGTTGAAAGACTTTTTTCTCTTTTCCGCATGCAATGCCCTCTCCTCCCCCCATAGCACAAAAACGCCAAATGCTACCTGGGTATCGACCACAATCTCGCCCTCTCTCTCTCTCCCATGCCCCCCCCCCCTCCCGTTCCAGATAACCCTCCACCCCATGCCAATCGGCAGTCAAATATAAGATCCGGGACCCCTCCCCCCCAATTACACTCAAATCTTCTTCTTCCCCGACTTGGCCGCCTCCCTCTCCCTCTCCCGCTTCGCATAAATCCCCGCCGTAAACGGATCCTCGAACCGCAGCGCAACGACGTACACGAGATAGACGCCCGCCGTCAGCAACAAGCCCGCCGGCTTGCCGTACACCAGCGCGGTGCCCAAGAAGTTCATCGTCGAGCCCCAGTACATGGGCGCCGACGTGACGTTGAAGGGGAACCCCGTCACCATGTCGTCCATCAGGATGCCAAAGTAGTCGCCCAGGAAGGTGCCCGTGATGCCCAGCCGCCACGTCGACGACACGACCAGGACGTTGCCGAGGACGAGCAGCGTGTAGCCCGCGGCCTGCGCGTAGAGCGACGTCAGCAGCGGGTGCGACGGCTGCTCCGACAGCGCCACCTTGTAGAGCCAGTCGCGGACGAGGCCGAGCGAGAAGATTGTCGCGGCCAGGGCGTAGCAGGCGGCGTAGCGCTTGCCGCCGAAGAGCCGGGTCAGGATCTTGTTGTGGTATTCTTGAGTTGGACTCGAGAGTTAGCAATGCCGCAGAGCTGGACTGGATATCGATTCATGGGTATATATATATATGTATATCGAACCTTGACGAGCGACGATGCTGCAGTAGAAGAATTACGTGTAAGCAAGCAACCTCAATGTGGCCATAATGTAACCGCACATGATGGAGGAGGGATCCATCAGTGCTGGGTAAGTAGATGGGTAGGTGTGTTTCTTACTTCCAGAAGAGCGGATTGAAGACAATTGACCCTGCTGAGACTGTGGTTGACGCATGTTTTCATGCTCCAGTTAGACATCCATATCTTCTCTTAGCATCTGAAGCTTTCCTCCTCGTTGTTCACATACTCAGTAGACTCTGCTTGTCGAGGTCAACGTATTTCCCGAGGTTCAATGATGACGCCATGGCGAGCTATGTAGCTTGACAACAGCTCAGTAACCTATTCAGAATGGCAGGATGAGAGGGGAGGTCGAAGAGGCTGAATATTAGAGACAAGAGCGACAAAGCTCTACACACAATCACAGGCCGAAGAAAAAAAAAAAAGCAAAGGCAAGGAAACGTGGCTGTATCGCGGCCGGGGAGCTGGAAGCAGATAGTACGAGTAAATCCAGGTCGAGTCCTTATAGCGTCATGCATCCCGCCCTGCGTGCTTTTAAGACAAAAGTTCGGGGGGCGGGGATTGGATTGGCCGCCTTGGATGGAGCCCCCAACAAAATTGGCGTCTGTCACAAGCCAAAAATTCCATGCATTCTTGCACTGCCAAAGTTCCCAAAGGAGCCGCCCAGGGAAGGACGGGATGAAATTAGACAGGGGAAACAGAATTAACATTGAGCAATGTGTTGTTCATGGCCCGCCCAAAGATGGACAGGGCTCAATACCACCGCTAATAAACCCTCAAAAGAAAATACCAGCCCATGTGCGAGGCGGAACGCCTGTAGTATATCATCTCTCACGGCGTCCTTCAGAGAAACAAAAGAGCATGTCCAGCTAACACTGGTCGGCGATTGGTATCTATCATTCCGTTCACGTCCCTCACAATACAGAAAATCGTTCATCATCAGCCCGTCTGTCCACGATCCGCGATCCGCTTGGCTTTTCTCCCCACAACGCCGTGTAACGCCGCCCATAGGTTATTGACCTGCCTTACTTCCTGTTCCTCGTCTTCTTCCCTGTCGTTTGCGTGTCTTCCTCTTCCTCGTCTTGGCCCTTCTTGAGATCCTCCGTCAGGCCCCATTCTTCCTTGTCGTACCAGTCTTCGCCGTCGGACATGTCCCGGTTGGGCCCGCAGTGTGCCTCTGCCTTTGACCAATGCAGCACGTCTTTGCGCAGCCTTTCCGCCTTCAGCAGCCCCAGGTGTAGCCTTGAAGCTCCTCGGCAGACCTCCTCTTGCTTCTGGACATACAGGGCCAGCAGCCGTCTGATGTCTTCGGCCTCATTTTCTGGCAGCCCGAGGTTCCGGTCCATCTTGGCATTCGGAGGCGGCAGGAACATTGGGTGGATGTATGACGCCTCTGCATCCGTCTTGTCTTCCAGGCTCTGGTGAGACGGCTTCCTTGTTTCTTCAGCGCCGTCGTGCATTTGGACATCTTCACTGGGCGGCCGGCTTCCCTTCTTGCGACCCTGGCTTGTGCTTTCGTTTGTAGGCTGTCCGCCGTTTGTATGTTTGCCCGTGTCGCCATTGGGTATACCTTTGCCGTCGTCCTTCTTCGCGTCGTTGGTTTTGCTTGGTGCGTCTTCGGGAACCGTGCCGTTGTCTGTTTCCATAGGCTCACCCTGCTGGGAAGGTGTTTTCCTCTTTCCAGGTGATTCGGCATCGCGCATGGCCACGTCGCCATCCGCTGGGACAGCGACATCCTGCTCGTCCGAGGCCTTTGGTTCGTCTGGCCTTGAAGAATGAGCACCGAGCTCGTCGGTGCTCGAGCTGCCATTCACGTTGGCCGGTGAAGGTGCCTTGTCGTCTGCCTTGGAACCATCCTTAGGCTGGCGGGCTGTGCTTTCTTTCTTATAAAACTCAATGTCATTGGCGCCGACCATGGTCGAGCACGGCACCCAAGTTGCGTCGCCACATAGAGCTGTCCACAAATGCCGAACCTTCCACAGCGACCGGTTCTCCTTTTGCATTATGCCAGAGCTCTGCTTGACCAGTTCTGTAAGTGTGTGGGACGTGAACGGCTTGGAGAGGACGGGATGGGTCGGTAGGTCGGTCGACGCGGTGAGAGGCGCGAGGATGTCTGCCAAACGTTAGAACGAGCCCCGTCACGAGCAGGTTGCGTGGAAAGCGTACGCTCGAGGCGAATGTTGGCATATGGGTCCAGCTCTGCAGCCGACAGCATGGCCTCCTCGATGCGGGCCTCGTCGTCGTCGCTGTCGAACTCGTAGCCGTCTTCGTCGACCAAGGGAGGGTTGCGGTGGATGATGGCCCTCCGTACACCGGCGTACTCGACAGTCTGTGTCGGATTGCAGCTAGGTTAGCCATCGCGCGCCTCTTCACGGGGGGGCTGGGCAGTTCTGCCTGCTGCACGGCGAATCGTACCTCCTTGTAGGCGACCGGCGCTGTCGTGGGCAGCAACTGCCCCTTGTGCGCGAAACGCGCCCTCTTCTTCAGCTTGTTGCCGCGGTTGGTGTAGCTCTCAATCTCGGAATCCGAGTCGGACTCTGTCGAGGCGACGGGGTTAGCGAGCGTGATCCGACGTAGGCTAGGCTGCGAGGGCTCTGCAGAGCTCACCATAGGCCCTCCGCTTGAAGGCCTTTTTCATGCCGGCGATGGTCTCGGCGAAGAGCACCTGCTGCGACGCCATGACGGGCAGATGCCGAGGCCGGCCGGTGGCGTGGGAGGGTCGACGGCGGGAGGCGGAGGATGGAGGAGGCAGGAATCGTGTGTCTCTGTGTGCGAGGGGCGGCAGAGCGTGGCAGGGCGCGGCAGAGCTGAGTCGAGCAGAGTCGGTCGGTCGAGCAGGAAAGCAGTAAGTCGGCAACGCGGAATCGGGTCGTTTCTGGCCTTGAGAACGCGGCACTCGTGAGAAACCCGGGCTGTGTGCAAGGTCAAGGTCGGCTGAAGACGGGCAGGAGGAGGTGGAGGAGGAGGAGGAGAGGCAGAGGCACAAGCAGAAGCAGCAGAGCAGCGCAAACCGCCGGCCGGACCAGGACAAGACAAGGCTCGGCCTGCTCTGGCCCAGTCCACTTTTATTTTTCTCCCAGTCCCGAGCTCTCTTCTGCTGCGCTTCTGCTGGTGCTGCTTGCAAGTCCCGTGGCCAATCAGAGAGGCGGCTCGCGGAGGCGTACTTTTGCCGATGCCGTGCTGTGACGTAGCATTGGGCTATCTGCCGGGGTTTAAGCGGGCGATGGGAAATCATTAAAACTCAATTGCTTACCCTGGATTTATACGAATGTCGACGTAAGCAACGAATGCAGCCTTATGATATGGAGTAAAGGCATAAGAACATGCTTTGTCTGTGGGCCATAGTCCAAGTGACAAGTCTCCAGATGCGGCATAAGCGTCCAGACCCATGGTCATCAGATTGCCATATTACTTAACAGAGCCGGCGTCAATCTTGCCCCAAGTGCCTCATTCTCATCAAAGTACTGATCGGACATTTTCTCGGGCTTGATGGTTGTTTCTGGGGGCAGAGTCCATGCAGGGACTGTGCGGGCATGAGGAAGCGAGGTAAGCGAGTTGGGGGTTACGCATGCCACGTGAACTTTCACGACCCTCTCTGCTTGCTTCATCTTGCGGTCTCGAATCGGGATGCTCACGACCAAAAAGACTCGAAGCCATACAGTATCAGGGCCTCTAACACATCGAAATTGGGCCTCTATACGCCCACAACGACCATAGTTCACTGCATCTGCCTTCTCGCAATCCCATCCATGACCAATTTTGTCAATCTAAAACTTCATTTTTCAAAAGCATTCTTCCGCATCCCGGAGCTCAGATCCGGAGCTCTCCGTCCCCACCCCGGTCCGACTCCGATACCGCTACAAACATGCTGAATTCTGCCCACCCCCAATCAATCTCATTTCCCCTTTGCATCCACCAAGAACCCACAACCTAAAAAAGTAACCCACGATCCACAAACCCAAACAACAGCCCATAAAAAAAGCAGGAGGACAGGCATCTCCAGCCCTTGATGAGTTCAATACGAGCGAGCTTCTTTCACCAACGAATCATCATCGGTCTGGTGGTCTAGTGGTATGATTCTCGCTTAGGGAAAACCCCAAGTTTGTTCTGCGAGAGGTCCCGGGTTCAATCCCCGGCCAGACCCGTTCGTTTACAGCTTCCTCTTGGGAAGCTTCACTTTTTGGCCGTTTGTGCTTATTTTTATTATCGCAATTGAGGCGAACCGTCGACATACACACAAACCTCTCTTCTGCCACTCTTTTTGCTATAGGTCGTATGTAGGTAGTGGGCTTACCGTTGGCTCGTTATCAGCTCATCCATCTGGCTGTAACAGAATAAGCAATCGGTGTAAGTCGAGGGGTCATTTTTCTCCTGAAATTGGAACTTTTTGCAATGAGCGGGCATTGCAGTTCATTATATTACACACACACACATATATATATATACTCTCAATAACGACGAAATGGGCATTAGGGAATCGTACCCCCCCGCCGTTGAAAACTACTGGAACAGCGTATAGTAAACGCGCTTCCAAGAAGGCTGAGCTGCCACAAACTCCCGATAGGCGCGAATCTCATCCCAATCCAGCTCACGACGACCGGTATCGACATCGATCTGGTCCAGCTTCAGCCAGCCAGTCCGCTTCCAGATGTATCCGCCGATCCAAAAGGCCAGGACAATGGGGAGGGCGAGGTAGGCCTGGAAGAAGCCCTCGACATCGTTGAGCCCCTCTTGGCCAGGGGGTGCGATGGCTGTGTAAAACTAGACGATGGCGTGTCAGTCTCGAGAAACGTTTGTATGTATGAAATGAGGAGAAGATGAAAGCTTACTTGAGCAATAAAGACGATGAAGCAAATAATCAACCCGATCCATGATCCCACGACGCCAAAGATTGCCTTGAACGGAATCTCCTCGACAGAGTGCCCGTGGTAGGCCCAGGCGGCACGGAAACGGATATGCGCCAGGCAGATGGCGGCCCAAGCGAAGAGCACAGCCAGACCGGACAGCGCCTGCAGCCAGTTGAAAACCGTCGGCCCCGAGGCGCTGAGGTTGATGTAGGCGAGCGGACCGGTGAGCAGCATGAGGATGGTGGAGGGGAGGCATCGGCCGGAGCGATCAATGTAGGTGAAGAACTTGGGGGCGTAGCCCTGCTGCGCCATGGCCGTCAGGGTGCGCGAGCCGCCGTAGACGCTGGACACGCCGATGGAGATGACGGAGATGAGGATGACGGCGTTCATGAAGTGGTCGAAGCCGCGGAGGCCGGCGTAGAGCCCGACGAGGACAAACGGCGAAGCCTTGACGTCGGTGTACGCCGCGCTGGACAGCAACCGCTGGTCGTCCGCAGGAATCAAGAGGCCGACGAAAAAGAGACCGAGCACGTAGAAGAGGGTGATTCTCCAAAACACCTGCTTGATGGAGCTGGGCAGAGACTTGACCGGGTTGCGACTCTCCGCCGCCGCGAGGCCGACGAGTTCCGTTCCGGTAAAGGAGAAGGCGGCGGTGACGAACACGGAGCAGAAGCCCCTGAATCCGTTGCGGAACGCCCCCGGATTATGCCAATACTTGGCTCCCACGTATTCGGAATACCGACCGTCCGACGGGCCGCCGCCGAGCACGAGCACGAAGCAGATGATCATGAAGACGACCGTCGCCGCGAGCTTGATGACGGAAGACCAGAACTCTTCCTCGGCGTAGCCGATGCTCCCAAAGATGTTGATGAGGATGATGGCGACCCAGAAGATGGTGATCCAGACGCCGACGCTTATCTCCTGGTTCCAGTACTGGATGACGAGGGAGCAGACTGTCAGCTCGAGCGGCAGGACAACGAACCAGAGGGAGAAGTAGTTCCAGCCGACGGCGAAGCCAAAGGACGGGTCGATGAAGCGGGTTGCGTAGGTGTAGAAGCCGCCGGAAACGGGGTACATGATGGCGAGCTCGCCAAGAGCAAAGACTGTGGGTGAAAGGGCATTCTGTAAGCATAACGTACAAATTCATCGATGTGACGGATTGACTCTTTCTGAAGACTTACCGACGTTGAAGACCATGAAACCGACGATGAGAAAGCAGATGAGAACCGAAGCAGGACCCTAAACATCACCTGTCAGCAAAACACGTTCACCAAAAAACTCCCCCGTTTCTCCCCCCCTCTTCTTCTTCTTCTTCCCCCATCATCTCTTTCGATCCAGAATGTGTGCCAACTTACACCCTTGGCCAAGGCACCGCCCGAACCGACAAAGAAACCAGCGCCAATCGAGCCGCCAATGGCAATCATCTGCAAGTGCCGCGTCTTCATCGCCCGGTCCAGCTCGACGAGCCCCAGCCCGTAGTGCTTCTTCTGGAACGACTTGGCGTTGAGGCCGTTGCGCGTCCAAAAGTCCTCGTCGTCGTATGAGTTGTTGCCGAAGCCGTCGCCGTCCGACTGCGGCACCACGGCGGTGTCTCGCACGGATTTGTCCATGTTGTTGGAGCCCTTTTCCTCGGACGACGGAGAGCCGCCCGAACTGGCCCGCCCAGACATTTCTTTCCTTTTTTTCTTTCCCTTCCTTTCTTTCTTTATACGATCGTGTTATTATGTCGTGTAAGAGGTACAAATTGGAACGATTTGGCAGAAATATTCCGTAGCGCCGGGCTTGTTATTGGTGCGCGGCAGTTGAGGGAAAGCTTGAGATCTCGGGGCGCAAAGTAGAGCCTCGCCCGGGAATTCGGATCGAGGTGTGTGTGGTTCGTTCAATGTAGGCTGTTTTAATGCAAGGGACGGGAGGGCTAGAATATTTCCAGAAGCCCTTTCTCGGAGGGAACGTCACACAAACCAACAACAAAACAGCAAAGTGGAAGCGAGGACGAGGGTTACACAGTTAGGATGGGATCAGCACTTTATATGGGATTTTGCTACTCTCTCTCTCTCTCTCTCTCTCTCTTCCACTCTTTTCTCTCGTCTGCCCTGTCCGTAGCATTTAACCACTCAACTATTACTACCATCAATGACTAGCACCGAGCCAATGCCCATGCTTCGTTTCTGCTCAGACCTTGCCAACACGGGGCCCAACATTGGGAAAGCTGAGGCGGAAAGCCAAAGCGGGCTGATATCCACTGACTCAGTAGGCAGACGAGGCTTCCTGTCCGATAGCCGGGACCGGAAGGAATACTAGGTTCGGAGAGAGAAAGAGAGAGAGAGAGCAATTGGTCTCCGGTCCTCTGGGGTGTGCCATTTCAAGAAGAGTGCGCCCCCTTGCCAAGGCATAACATACCGGGTCTCTTTCTCCTCGCAACATACAAAAGCAGTAACAAATGTGGTGTGTCCAGCTAATAAGCCCCGTCGCTGCGAGTAAGCAGTGCCTGTAATGGAATGTACATGCTTGCATGTAGTAACACCAGAGGCGAGATTCCTGCAGCAGCCCTCCGTTCCTCGCAGTGGTAGAGGTAGAAAGCAGCAATTGTGGTACGAGAAGGCGATGTTTAGCTTGAGACGGCCGTTGGCAAGACGGGCCTCCGTGGGTCCGCCCAGCAGCGATCCCGGGAGACTTCATGGGCGCCGTCGCCAGAGAGCCCACTTGGCCGACGGCCTGGCCACTCCGCGAGGCTGCTATTAGGTAATTGTCAATTAGAAGCAGGTTGGGGGTTTGCGCGGGATGGGATGAGATGCGGCGCTTTGTTTGCTCGTCGGGGACTGGATTTGCAATGGGGGGGTGGATGACTGAAGTTCGTGGTGGGTTTCGATTTTGCATTTTTGGTGACTCTTCTCCCAATCCCCACTTGCAGCTGGAGAAAAGCCTTGGGAGGGTTTCGTCTAATTGTTGCTGTCCGTGGGGGGTCCAAAGGGAGAATTCGGGGAACTCTGAGGTGATGATTCCTTGAAGAAAAGGAAAACGTAAACAATGTCTTGGAGGACGGGATATTCTGCTTGGCAAGCTGCCACCCCTGGATATCATGTGAAAGAGCGTTTACACTCGAGACAGTCAGCTTTATTAAGACATGTATGTACAGGTCGCGTGAATACCAAGAGAATAAGCAGTAGAGAATCATCTTCAAAAACCCATGGGTGACGGTTTGTCTTGCATCTGGAGATGCTCGATAAACGTGGAACATCAATGAGGCCCAAAAAAAAAAAAAAAATTCACATCAGCCTCATCCAGCAACCCAGTCATGTCTCAGATTTTTTTTCTCTCGGCGAAGATAGAGTTGTTCCTTCGCCCCTCGCTAGAAGCCCGATGGAAACACCACCACCAAAGGCCAAAAAAAAGCCAAGCAAGCCAAGCCCTGTCCGCGAGTCATGTCCTCGAAAAGCAACTTTAAAGAAAAACGAGAACATGGCCCGCCAAGCCCGCTTCCCCGATCTGCGCCCCCGGACCCCGCGAACTCTCTTTGTGTAAATATGTGTCAACGATTTGCCAATGTCAAACGATTGCCGATGCTGGCCTTGCGTTGCCCGAGGCCGGTTCCAATTCCGCCCATCTCTTTGATGTTTCCTGTCTTGTGATCGATCATTGATAGCACCTTTCTAGAACGCCGGAAAGCCGGCGGGTCGGCTTCACTAGTTAGTTGCTGGTCAGCGGCGGCTGGTTACCGTCGAGGCGGCGCCACGTTTTATGGATATGGAGAGAAGCGATTGGCCGGGGGATCATGGAATCCGGGTCTCGGGCGGGACGAACTGGCTTCGAATCGACGATGTAGAGGGTGTAGCTGAGCTTGTCGACTGTAAGGCGTGCTTTGGACGGGACGGTGGCTTCGAGTCTTTGGCATCAACCAGGTTCTGCTGCAGCACCGGTGGCTGTAGAGTGTCTCTGGTGTTGCGGTCAGAGGTCATCAGATCATCCCGAGGACAGCTAACTAGCAACCAGCAGCCTGCACACTCGTAAGCAATCGTAGATTAGGAGAAAAGGTTACAATGTTAGAGGGCGCGGCCAAGGATGTCTTGTCATATGCCGCTGTTAAACGAAGCTGACCTGGCTTCCATCCACCTGGTGATATTAACTCACGGTGGCTATTTTGTACTTGCCAGGGAATCGGATGTATTATTCTGTCGAAGGATCAATACGATGAACGAGAACAGTTCCATGTGTATTCCTTTTTTTTTCTCCCCACATTATAGATGCGGAAGCACGAGAAGGCCAGCCATAGATGTCGTCCCCGCAACGCCTTCATTGCAAACACTCTCAGCTGTACTTGTCAAGAATAGGAGGTGAACAGGTCTTTGTCTATCCATTTTGAGCTACTTGGGATTCTTCGGAAAGGATGGGTCAATGAATAAGCTTGCCAAGATAACCTTGATAGTCCCGTTGGGTGCTGCTGGGGACCAGAACTGGAGACACGGGGACGCAGAGCCACCTCCGCATTTTGAGGCCTCCGCAGTTCGACGATCCCGTTCTACACCTCGGATATTTCGGCTGTAGTGAACTACGTATCACCATGAGAATCATCTCCTCAACAATGCAACAGAATCATCCTTTCAATACAACCTTCCAGCCTCACGCCATAAAACTGGAGAGTACATGCATGTAAGTGCTGCTAGTACTAGCACCGACGGGGTCTAAGCGGCGAGAGCAAGCATAACAGTCGTCGCCATAAACCGCGGATAGCCACAAGCAATTACCCCATGGCATGTTCCCCAGAGAATACGATGGTCATTCATTCTTCAGCTACTACTCTATTGATTCGATCTTGGGGTAGACATGCGGGTCTGGGGTTGATGACAGGAGCGCCGCCACAGATACATGTAAGGTAGACAAGTTCGCCAAGGGCGTGGGCACAACAAGCAAGCTTTGGATACTTTGCTTGCGCCCGCTTCAAGCAACCCTTTACAATTCCTGCTCACTCTGAGTTTGCCATTGCTATAGGTCATCGCCCAATCTCACAGTCTGACTGCTGTTGTTAAAGGAGGTCATGTTCAATAAGAGAAAACTCCACGATCATAACCCCGACAGCTTCGATTACCCGATTGGGAATGAAAGACCCGGAGCCGAGAGGGCCGAGTCGCGGCCCCGATATGCGGAGACGGTGGCAGGAGTGAGGGGAAGTTACACGGCGTCTGTCACAGACGATGTGTGCTGTCATGACGTGAAATTACTTGAGGCCTGACAGCCACATATATCTCAAATCAAAACTACCAATACCAGTCACGGCGTGATGGTGATGGCGTCGAGCAGCTTGCAAGACAACACCACGCTCCGCATCTTGCGGGCAGCCGACAAAGGCAACTATGGCGTCCTCGCCGCCGTCGGGTAAGAACATGAACTGCTCAAAACCCACCTCCACCTTTTGTTCGGAGAATGTGAACAACAGACTGAGAAATTGTGGTGTCTATCAAACGCAGCTACAACCTAGAGCAAGTGCTCGGCTTCGTCCGCGCCGCAGAGCGCAAACGCTCGCCCCTCATCATCCAGCTCTTCCCCTGGGCAGTCGCCCACTCCGACGGCGTCCTCGTCCACGCCGCCGCCCAGGCCGCGCGCCAGGCCTCGGTCCCCGTCGCCGTGCACCTCGACCACTGCCAGGACGAGGCCATGGTCCGGCGCGCGTGCGGGCTGCCCTTCGACTCCGTCATGGTGGACATGTCGCACCACGCCAAGGAGGAGAACCTGGCCAGGACGAGGGAGCTGGTCGCGTACTGCCACGCGCGCGGCAAGGCGGCCGAGGCGGAGCCGGGCAGGATCGAGGGCGGCGAGGACGGCGTCTCGGACACGCTCGACTTGGAGGGCTTGATGACGACGGCGGAGGAGGCGAGGGCGTTTGTGGACGCCGGGGTGGATTTGCTGGCGCCGGCGTTTGGGAACGTCCATGGGGAGTATGGGCCGCGGGGGATCGTCTTGGATTTCCAGAGGTGAGAAGGAAACTCGTTTTTTCTCTGCTGCTTTCAGGGCGTTCGGTCTCCGTGAAACTGATGCTTGAATGTCTTGCAAACTAGACTCAAGCAGGTCCACGAAATCACCAGAGCCAGCAACGTCCTCATTGCTCTGCATGGCGTGACAGGCTTCTCTGATGCTCTCCTTCAGCAACTTGTTAGGGCGGGAGTACGCAAGATCAACGTCAACAAGGACATCCTCGTGGGCTACTATGCGGTGCTGGAGCAGAAGATTAACAAGGCTCCGTTTACGCAGGTGGTGGACGAGGCGATAGAACAGGTGGCAGAGGCCTTGGCGAGGCAGATGGATGCCGTGGGCTCAAGTGGCAAGGCGTAGTCTCAAAAGAAATGCCTTATACCCCTATTCCGCTTGTCGTACACTTCATGTCCTGCTTTCTCAGTTTAGACAACCTAATCCGACTTCTGAGCAACAATATCTCACTCAAATATCTACGATATATCCCTCTCTTTCTTACGTCCACCCACCGTCAATCGTCATGCTCTGGTTCGTCACAGCCGCACTATCGTCCGCAATCAGCCACATGGCCATCCTCGCCACCTCCACCGGCTCAATCAGCCTCTTGATGGCCTGGTGCCCCAGCACCTTGGCCTCGTACTCGGGCGTCAGCACCACGCTCCTCTCCCTCTCCGTAGCGATCGACCCCGGCATGATGCTATTCACCCTGATGCCCTGGGGCCCAAACTCGTGCGCCAGCGTCCTCGTCAGGCCCACCACGCCCGCCTTGCTCGTCGTGTACGGCACCTGGCCCGTCGCCGAAACGACCCAGTTGATGCTCCCCATGTTGATGACCGAGGCATGTCCCGAAGCAAGCAGCAGGCCCGGCAGCAAGGCCTGCGTCAGGAAAAACTGGTGCCGCAGGTTGACGGCGACGCTGTCGTCCCACCACTCCGTCGTAATGTCCCGCGTGGGCTTCGCCATGGCTCTCGCGGCGCTGTTGACCAGGCCGTCGATCTTGGGATGCTGCCGCAGGATCTCGGCGGCCGTGGGCTTGAGCTCTTGGTCGACCTTGGCGACGTCGCAGTGGAAGTAGATGGGCTCGTGCTTGACGCCCCTGTTGGAAGATATCTTTTGCACGAGGGATGCGGCGAGATCGTCTTCGACGTCGAGGAAGATGACCTGGGAGCCTTGGAGGGCGAACTGCTCAACCATTTCGGCGGCGATGCCCTGCGCGCCGCCGGTGATGACGATGGTGCGGTCGACGAGGCTGGGATAGATGGCGTATTTGGCTTGGTGGTCCGCCATGATGAATGAGGCGTCTCTGAGGCGAGTTTGTTGCCCACGTATGTAGTTGTGATGTCTGAGATCGGCTCGACTTGTTTTCTCTCTCTCCCTTTTCCTCGAGGTTCTGTGTTTACTGTCAGCTTACGGGGATCGGAAGCAAGAAGGATCTGGCTTTTATATATCCAAGACGTGCCGATCGATTGATTACGATTGATTGATGGCATCGTCCAAAGTATATGTACCCCGCCTTCAGGTCTTTCCGATTCAATCATTCTCAAGCTGCAATTCTCCCGACCTCGGAAGGCTAAAGACGTGTGTAACGTTACGAAATTCTTCTAGCTGATATTCATTTTTCCGGAGAAAAATACCCTTATTAGATGATTTGAATCGATTTCATGGTGGTGGTAAGTTCTGCTAGTTTAGAGGTCCTTCCTTTTGCTTATGGTTGTTGCTATGGATGCAATAATCATGCTGTTTTTGTCCATTTATACAGGTAAACCGAGGGTGATGAGATCAATATATCGGCTTGGACTTCGGTTATGAACCTCCAAATTCGTAGGAATTTCCTCGTCAATCACAACTCATATCAGCTCCATCCCCCATCCTCACCATCCTCACCTCCCTCCACCAGGAGGCTTCCCCTTCTTCTGCGGGCTCCCCCCTCCGCTCCTCCCGCCCTTCCTCGTCTCCTTGCCCGGCCCCGTGTTCTGCGCCTCGGTGGACGTGTCCCCCATCGGCTTGTTGAACTCTTGGTTGGCGCCGCTTGCGTTCAGCGGGTTCGTCTCGTTGCCCCGTCCCGCGGCCTCCTTCTCCGACTCGGGGTCCGTCTTGGACGGGTTGAAGGCGGCGTCCTTCTGCGCCGCCACGTCCTCGTCGCGGCCGGACCTCGTGCCCTCGTTGGTGCCCGGCTTGAGCGTCTGGCGGTCCTGGGAGTTTTTGTAGGGCAGCCGGAGGGCGGCGGTTGTGTGGTACTGGTGCTGGCGCGGGATGGCGACGGCTGCTGCTGTTGTTGTTGTGCAGCAGCGCCGGGGGATGATGTGGGCGAGGCTGCGGATTGTCGATGCCATGGTTGTGTGTGATGATGGATTGATTTTTTGCCCGTTTGCTTGTGGTTATTTTTCTGTTGTGAATTCGAGTGCAATTGGGGTTTTGGTTGAGGTTGTAGCTGTTATAAGGTATTGAAGCATCTGCGTTCTTGAGGTCATGGTGACGCTCTGGGAAGCTCCCCCAATACTGACGTCATCAGCTTCACTCCCAAGCAGCAAATGATCAGCACATGCAAACAGCTTAATTCAGGGCCAGGAACCAAAAATGTCTGCAAACTTGGATCTAGAACGATCTCCCCTTATATCTACCATCTCTAATTAACCTTATAACTCTGCTACGTCTTGCTAAATGTGCAATTCTTCAGTAGGAGACTGAGTTGTCCAGAGAGTCCTAGGACAAAGTCGGAAGTAGGAGCAAGGCGCAAATCCATACATTACACATCACAGGGAGATAGGCTTCCTCATAGATGCAGTGTGATTCATATCAATTGTCAATCAACCAACGATTTCTCATAAACACACGAGCACGTGCTGTCTCATCGCTTATAGATGCCAAGTTCAGATGGAAAATGTTTCTGTTCTGTAGCTCGCTTGATTGGCCCGCAACCCAACGCACTGACGATAGGTATCCAACTGCATCTGACCCCGGTAACCACCATCAGCAGAGGTTGCAACGAATGGACACTCTGTCAAGAGAAAGGCAGCTGCCAAGTTAAAGTTTAGTTTGGGAATCCACAACGGAGGAAACATTGTTGTTGTTTGCCTTCCGGTGAGATTCGCTCCACGTCAGCATCTTGCATCGTGAACCAAATCGAAATGGATCAAGTTGACATGGCCCGATCTGAGTGAAATCTTTACCCACCGTTCCACACGGGAATATATCGCCAATAGTCTCCCCCTTTTCAATTCTCGCGCAAACAATCGCACACCCAGCCGTACTCCCTCCAGGCTCGCGTCGCTTCAGCCAAGCAATTGCAATCCCCACGCGAAGCTTACCTTGACGTACCTTCTTCGCACGATCCAAAGACGCAAAGGCAGCACTCACACGAATAAAGGGTGACATCGGGGATTCCGCAACAGGAAAGGGGGGGTGGTGGGATTCGGAGGTGCCGCCGACGGAATAGAAACAAGACAGCAAAATACAAATGCTTGCTTCTACGTTTGCGTAGCACGCAGAATGGAGTCCTCACTTGCGGGAAAACCAAGGCGTGTGGGTGCCACCTGGGGACCATGGGCCGGTGAGGCGAACGGACCGCTGCGACGTCCGGGCGACTTCGACATTGAATCATGGGGCTAGGACTTGCGGATATGACCTGATGTCGATGTTTATGTGAGTTGGGGACGTGCTCAGTGAAGACAAGACCCTTTCAGTTGGCGAGGCCACCGCAAAATGCCTTGTTGGCACTTGCAGGAGTCAACCGTTGGAAGGGGGCCAATGCCGGGTTGGTTTCCACACGAAATGTCTGTTCCTTCACCTGTAACTCACTAAACTCGGCTTCAGCCGTGAGGTTGAGCATGCGTATAGTCGACCAGGATCTTGGCTGGATCTACTTGTCTTTAGCATTCGACGTTTCGAGGACCGCTCCATGGTTGATGATGTCGGCGTGGACAACTCCCTGTAACAGTAGGACCTTGTCCAGGGCTCGTAGGCCTATAGGCTTGTCCACTATAGTTGGCACTCGTAAGAGATAGTCGATGGAGGTTTCACAGCGAAAATCAGTTCAAGGACGCGATCATCATGTTTGCCTGCCCATGTCCCCAAGAGAGAGCTATCCGAGACGAGCAGTCTCTGAAACGACCGAAAACCAACCCTCTCTAAGCAAGATCAGCAAGATAGAAGTATTACAGCATAGACGGTGCGTGTCATTTGAAGATTGTAACTGTTGTCTCGAGGTCTCCTGAGCTCTGTTACTCCCATGGACGTACCTACGATATGATATCTGACGGAATATTCGAGTATGAGAGCTGCGGTGCTCGAGTGATACTATCTACGGCCGGTACTCATTCCAGCCTGATCTGCCTACAAAGGTAGTTACGGTGTATTTCCCTCAACTCCTAAACCAGAGGTCATAATGTACACCACCTCGGCATCCAGGCCTAGACGACAATACAGGATACAGGAAATCAGAATGCTTCAAAGAGTCGTCACCTATCACAGCGCAGTCCCACATGTGTGAACGATGCGCCCAGCTGGCGTTAATTTGTTCCAAGAACTCAGGGGATTTAGGGCAATGAGTGGCCATCTGCAGCCATCTGACGCTGCATGTAGCCCCCAATTGATTTGTCCTTTCTTGATCCTCTCTTTGTCTTCTGCAGCCTCTGAATTTCCAGCCAGAGCGCCTCCTTTTCAGCTCTCATCCTTGCCTCCCGCGCCCATGCGTGTGGTCAAGCCACAAGAACAACCAAGTGGTACTACTCTGGTTGATGCGACGGTAGCGACGGCGCGAGTGAACGGATAAATGATCGATCCCTCGACCAACAGCCATGAACAACACGCCGGTAGGGACGTGTCTGTCGAGTCTGGCGAGCGATCGCTGCGTGCTGATCAGGGGATGCAAAGTACTAGGCCTGCCAGTAAGTCTACCTTGGGCAGTTTATTAGTACAGTGACCCCTTGCAAAGAACGAGCAAGAGTGAGCACATCAAATGTCGTCAGCGCTTGGATCTTAGCATTGAGGGCGCAGGACGAGATAGCAATCAGGACAAGCCTGAACCTTCTGCTTCAAGTCCATCCAAGACTCAGATATCATATCAGTAGAACACGCAGGTGAGCACTCGCACAGTACAGATATGAAGTTCGCTAAATATAATCTCCCAGCCTCTTGATTCGTGAACCTGATCAGAGTATGTATGTACCAAGCTGGCGCAAACCGACGCCCAAGGGCAGAGCCTAGTGCGGCGCCAGCGGCCGGGCGAGAGGGCGTCTCGTGACGCTTCGTTCAGAAATGGCGGCGCGCTTTGGCAACGGGGATCGGCGCGACAACACGTGGGCTTAGCAGGGATGCCGAAGGCAGCGAGGGTGATGTTGGCCGTTTCTACGGGTATTCATGCTGTGTTTGATTGCGTGTGGGAAAGCTGCGAGTTTGCTGAGGGAATAGTCCGGAGAAAGAGGAGTGAAGATCGTGAGGTGGCTGGGTGCGAGGGTTGGGGTTTGCACACTGTATGAGTCTCGGCATGTACATGTACATGTTACATGTACCTTGCATGATGGGCAACCAGGGAGAAGGAGGAAAAGAATCAGCAGCTCGTGCTTTTCTGCCAGCATTTGCAGAACAAGATCCCGTCGGAAGGATCCAAAAGGAGCGCGCAATAAGCTCTCTATGTTTTCTTTGCTATTCATCTCCCTACCCAGCCAGCGCACTGCTGCGCGAACCCACGTTCGGCCGCGGTTTGCAGCGCGCGCAGGGGAGTCGAGTTCGCTCATATGGATGGAGCTTCAGCTTCACATGCTGATTGGCCTTGGTGCCGCAGCTGCACAGTGTGGAGTGACGGTGCACGCGCTCCAAGCCGAGGAAACCACTGGCCAGCAATTGATCAACTCACGTCCAAGGTAGTTGTACCTCAAATGATGGATTGCAGACAGACAGACAGACAAGGCTCATTGCGGTGTCGACTGCAGCCAACAGCTTCAGTTTGCTCCAGCGCCCTGCATTGATGGCTCCCAGCTATCCGGTTCGCCGATTGGACGTCCATTCCATATCTACCAGTGTCCTTTCCTTTGTCGGCAGTGTTACCCCAGCTGAGCCCAGCAGATCACACCGAGTTGATCATCTCTCGTTCATCAGACTCGTCACGGAAACGCAGCTAGGTTCTTCTTGGCACTCTCCTCCGAAAGCTCAGCTACTTTCACGTTGGCTCTTATCTATCTAGTACGCAATAGCACAACTGCTAGAATGGACGCCACAGAGCTGCTGCTACATACTAGGTAGTACATAGTACCTAGTATGTATGTGCTAGCTGGCCACTACCTTACTACCTACCTAGTACTACTACCACTACCTAAGGTACTACTAATCATTGATGAATGGCCCTTCGCTTGTTGGGCAACGAGGTGGTCTATCGCGTCGTGAGCCCAGCGTTGGTCAGCTCTGAATCCGCCCGCCGGACTCGCCGACCAGGGCTGCCGTTGACACTCCCCACAGTGCTGCAGATGGCCTTGATGCCTGCTGCTGGAGCGGCGGGCTGCTACAGCAATGATGAGTTAATGATTGTTAGGCATACTAGTAGATAGGAAGTGTGCAGTCATAATATAACCCATGCGGCCAACAGAAATGCAATGAAACCCCAGTTACCAAGCTGATGCACCTTCGAGACCTCTGGCGGATCTCACTTCTGTGCTTCTGTGCTTCTATTGATCCTTCTCCCTATTCTTCCACTTCCGCCCTCCACTCAATATCACCTCCCTTCCGCTAGCGGGTGGCAACTTGATGGATAGTGCGGGTTTGCTGGATTGGACGTTATTGCTGTCCGGGTCCTTGAATGGATTGGCAAAATGGCAAAATAGATACTACACCCGACCCTTGAAATATGGGCAAAACAGAGGTGTGCGTGTGCGTGTGCGTGTGCGTGTGCGTGTGTGCGTGTCAGCTTCGAAATGCTCTTCCAGAAATTCCGGGGTCTTCGACAACGTGGTAACGCGCAGTAGTTCGGCTTCTCCACCACACCAACCTTTGGGTCGACCACGCCTCGGAGCAAATGGGAAAGACAATTGATTTGATCTGGGTGCTTGAGGTGGCCTATTCATACGCAAGGGGGGTGGGTGAGGGGCGCCGGCATGTCGAAGCACCATCTGGCCAGTTGCACGCGTTTGCATCGACACCCAAGCCGGAGCTTTTCTTGCTGCCTTCATTCATGTTAGTACTACAAGTTTCAAGTACCTCCTTTGGCCTCGGACTTGAGAGTTGCTGCTGTTGCGGCTTTGCATGGCATTGGGCTTCCTATCTTGCCTTCTTATTCATCCGATTGGATCTGGTTCTGCGTCTGCTTTTCTCCTGAGAGCATACATACTTGACGTGCTGCAGA